ATCTTCTTTAAAACCCCCCCCCCCCCCCCCCCCCCCCCAAAAAAAAAAATCTCAACCCAAACCCAATCTTCCCTCCTTCCCCCTCCTCCAAATGAAAAGCAGAAACTGAGAGGGGAAAAGTTAGTTGGATAATGTTGGGTACTTCCTCTTTGGCCATAATTTTTGTGTTGAAGTGATTTCTTTCACCTAAGCTCTTAGGGCTGCTCAGGTGAAGTAATGGATGTATTAACAGTCCACATCAAGTGAGGACCTGTTCCTTCCTATCTCTGCTAGTGTCAGTACCTTGTGGAACACTTGAGCAGAAATGTAGGTCTTCTGGAAGATCACCAAAACCTCAGTGGTGCCCAAAACATCAATGATGCATTCATGTAAGCAAAATTGTAACTGGGGGAGGAGGGTTTCCATTGTGTGCTGGCAAGGAGAGGATTGACAATGATTATTAAATAAATGTAGGAGCTGAAAAGGACCCTCACATCTCATGTTATCAGTTCCATTTTAATTTTTTTTCCCCCTCTGTGTTTTTCTAGTGCGTCAGTCTTTATTTTTCTTACAGGAAATACTGACTGAATCATAAAACTAGACCATTTCCATTGTCTTATAACACATGAGAATGTGCAGCCTTTAATCCTGCGGAACAGTGAAAGTCTGTTCATGAAGAAATCTTTTGTGGGACTGTTAGTTAAAGTGAAAATTTTAAAATCTGCTCTTTTTCCCGCCCCCCACAGACTGTTTATACCATGGCTCAGTTTCCCTTCCCACAACTGGCAGAATTAAGGGAGAAATACACGTACAACATTACTCCTTTCCCTGCAACAGTAAAATCAAGTTCACTTTCAGGGTAAGTTATGCACTGCTTATGGCATATAGGGTTATTGTTTACCCGACACAGATAGTGAAAAGGCAGGTGCCATCCTCCTTTCTGTGCCCCTAAAATAGATAAAGATGTTTGGTAACGATCATATTTAAGAATACCTCTTTCTTACTTCTCTTATGTTCTCAATTGACAGAAGGCTAAGCAGAACCAGGGACAGTGATGAGGAGAATGACCTGGATGATGAGGACTCAATTGCCAATGCAATTGGCTGTCTTGGACCATTAAGTGGGTTTTTGGCACCAGAGCTCCAAAAATACCAAAAGCAGATGAAAGGTAAAAGTGCTTTTGTTCGTTTTGGAAAACGCAGTTAAAGCTGCATGACTTTGCAGAAAATTGTCCATAGCTTCCTCTGTGAAAGCTGCTATGAAAATTGTATTTTATATTCACCTAGAGATTACAGTGGGTAGCAAGTGACTTGCAGTGGATCAACAGTGATTTTATGCTATCCCATGAGAGGCTATAGTTATTTATCCCCAACCCACCCCCACCCTTCCTCCCAAAAAACCCAGACTGGTGTAGCAGTCGCTGTTATCTGATTAGACATCATAGAATCATAGAACGGTTTGGGTTGGAAAGGACCTTAAGATCATCTAGTTTCAACCCCCCGCCATGGGCCGGGG